CTCTCTCTCTCTCTCTTCTTTTTTTTCTATACCGTACTGTAATTTAACACCCATCTCTCTCCTCCTCCCCCAGACAAAGTGGTGGAAAACCCATGTGACAACTGGAAGTGTGTTCACGGCGAATGTTCTCTAGATGGCCGCATGGTCTACTGTATCTGTAACGAAGGATATACGGGAGACCACTGCACTGACTTTGTTGGCATTACAAGGATGCTCTAAACTACAACGCCTTCAGCCAAAAGAAAAAGAAAAAAAAATATATACCATAGTCGTAGTACTAACAGACCTGTCATTTTATAATAATATAGGTCTACACATTTTCTGACTTACAATAAATGCAATATTATAATATCGTTTTTCTATATGAGCATACTGGTTATATTTTAACACATAAACATTTTTTAGAAACTATTAAATATTCTTTTCCTGCAAAATGAAATTGTTGTTTAATCTATTTCAAGCCTACGCTACATTCTTACCCTTTGTCTAAAACAGTAACATTATCAGTGAAACCATTGAAAGACTCAGACGCAAATCTCTTATGCTAAGCAAGGTGGTTCTGACCTATCTCGAAATCTAAGATTTATTTATATTGAAAACGAGGGACGTTTTTAAAATGTGTTTTCTTTTGTCTCAGAATGTAAATATACAAGGATTTTTTAATTGATAAGGGCACAGATACCACTCAAAGAAAAGACACAAGTCACCAATCATGCTAAAGGTTTAAAAGAAGAAACCTCATCCTCCTCCTCATCATCAAGTGCCAGATCTGCGGCAGACATCGGCGATCATAATTCTCCATTCATTCCTTTGCTCGGATGCGCTTTAAAAAAAAGCTATGTTACCCTGATCTTTCCCCGTTACTCATCTGTTTAGGCTCTCTAAGTAGGTATATAAACCTACGAGAAGAAATAATTGTGAAATGGAAAATACCCGGGGAGAGGAAAGCAACGTTTGCTAAGTGCAAGAATTGCTTATGTCTCTCCCAAATAATGTTTTCTTAATTGAGATCAAAGGTCAAAGTATGGACTCCGGGTGTCTTGGGCATGCCCGTCTCACTCTCACAAGAGAAATCTGAAAAATTTAACTCCCCAAACGACCCGATTTAGGTCTTATAGGCGGCAGGGTGTTTCGAAATTGGTGACCAGGGCGAATTTGAAACCCATCTCTTAGCAAACAGAAGGAGATGCTCGATAGAACAACGTTCTAACAGACAGAAAGAGATGCTCGATAGAACAACGTTCTAACAGACAGAAGGAGATGCTCGATAGAAGAACGTTTTAACATACTCAAGGGAATGTTCGATAGAACAACGTTCTAACACAAGGAAATGTTCGATAGAACAACGTTCTAACAGAAGGAGATGTTCGATAGAACAACATTCTAACACAAGGAAATGTTCGATAGAACAACGTTCTAACACAAGGAAATGTTCGATAGAACAACTTTCTACCAGAAGGAAATGTTCGATAGAACAACGTTCTAACACAAGGAAATGTTCGACAGAACAACTTTCTACCAGAAGGAAATGTTCGATAGAACAACGTTCTAACACAAGGAAATGTTCGA